ATAACCTAAAAAATATATTTTTTCTGTAACCTTTATCTGAACATGTCTGTGGTGCAGATAAACTTTTTCCGTGTTAATGGCAGATATTAAAAAACACATCCTTCAGAGAAAAGAAGCTTTCATGTGTACAATTTCTTGTTATGTACCCTGCAGTAGTTGCGTGTGACTCTCTGAAGTTGGCATCAGAGCGCCAGCGAAACACTGATGTGCTGTGTGTCTCCTGCAGAACTCCATGAAGGTGATGTTCAAGTGCCTGTGGAAGAACTGTGGCAAGGTGCTGAGTACTGCCGCTGGCATTCAGAGACACATCCGCACCATCCACCTGGGGTAAGACACAGACGGTCTGCATACACACCTGAGATAAAGTCCACTCGAAGCCTCAAAAACGGCTCTGCTGCTCATATCCTGCCTCTGGTTGATGACTTACGGGTTATCAGCATAGTAATATGTCCCAGTGATACTGGATAGATGGCTAACCTGACCTTTAGGTGGAGATTTACATTCATGATGTATTTCTGTCTGTCCTGCCCCTGCGCTCGTCTCCCAGTCGTAACTGTGACTCAGACCTCAGCGACGGTGAGGAGGACTTCTACTACACGGAGATTAAGCTGAACACGGACTCGGTGGCCGACGGGCTGAGCAGCCTGTCCCCAGCTTCGCCCTCTGTCCTGTCTCCCCCGCCTCCTCCCCCGTCTCCTCTCCCCTCGGTCAGCCAGCTGCCAGACTCCCATAAACCGACTCAACCCTCTGACACCAAGGAGCCCCACGCCGGCGGCACCACGCCGCTCAGCCGGTCTGCACCCAGCGCTCTCTACCTCATCCACACGGACCATGCCTACCAGGTGATGAAGACTGATGTGCTCTGTATACGTCCCTCAGTTTCTCACACATTACTATCGAGGTCCTTGTTACGCTGACGATGTGTCACAGTGTTCGTAAACACACTAAAGATCTCGCAGCGACTTGTGGTCCCTCCCTCCCTATAGCAGCTGTGCTAACAGTTGCGGTCTATCAACACACAAGCAGCAGGTTTGAATAATTAATTAAAGGTTGAAAAATGACAGAATTTATCTATTTTAGCCTCGGTTTTCAGATTATTGTTTGAAGAATAACCGCCATTAGCTTTCCATTAATATCTGTGCATCTAATATTAATGCAGAGCTGCACGCTTGAGGTCTGACATGAGTAGTTATGTTTCTGATGAAGGCCAAAAATCTGCCTTGAAAAAAACCTTCTTTGAATAAAGTATATTTATCCGACCATTAAAATCTACCTCACCTAGAAAATAACAAAAGAGGGTTTTTTTTAACAAAAAAATGTAATAGAAAGAGAAATCTGACCCAAAAAAAGAAACCTCCTCTGGGTAAACTCGGTGTCAGAAAAGATGGAAAAGTCCCATCTCCAGCCAATCAGTAGCCTGCAGTATAAACATGTAAAGGACAGGTGTAGTTTCTGGGTAAAAAAAAGGGAAGTGATTCACCTGCTTTCTTTCTAATGGCCAGCAGGGGGAGACTCCCCTGGTTCCAGTTGATACTAAGTCTATGGGGAACAGACCCTCAGCTCTGTTGGTTGTGACATCATTAACACTTTTCTGATTAGTTTATGGTCTTGAGCACAAAATGATAATTTTATAAATTATGGCTTTAATTGGAAGCAAAAAAAGAGATTAAAGTAAGGTATGCTTCAGGGCGCTTGATCATTAAATCGAGTTTCAAAGCAGAAAAAAATGTTCAGCTTGAGGCTTCGTAAGAGGATTTCACTAACCACTGTCTGACATCCCAATACAAAGAAGCTCTGCATCAATTAACAAATACTAAAATAAATAAAAGTATTCCAATATGCTGAATTAAAATAAAAGTTAAAAATAGTGACCTTTGACCTCTGCCTTCAGGCCACGGCTCCAGTGTCCATCCCGTCCAGCAGCACCAACAACTCGGCCGGCTCGGCGTCCACCAGCTTCACTCCCACCAACAGCTCCAGTTTCAGCATCTCTTGGCAGTCGCCACCCGTCACTTTCACCGGGACCACGGTGAGAAAGCCTGGCTCAGCCTTTGCTTTCACGCAGCTCGTCTTTCTCTTATTCATGATCTGCTCTCGTTCTCCAGGTGTCTCCCAGTAAAAGCCAAGGATTTGGTGACCAACGTTCCCAGACCATTGCAGTGCTTTCGTCCCCTCCCAGAGCCACCGCTGCCCTCAGGTACTGGACTCTCACAGAGTCTCACCTTATGACTGGTTATAGCTTCAGTTAAAGGTCGAATTAAACCTTTCTCTTTCAGCTTGTTTGGTGCAACCTGAAAAATGGAATAAAGCTCTGATATGTGTTTATCTATCTCTGCAGTCAGTGGCGTAATTAAAAAGAACCAGTTAGCTTAGCACAATGGTGGGACTGGGAGGAGACAGATGTCATGTTTTTTCTTAGCAAAAAGGAAATTTCTTCCAACATATGGACGCACCTCAAAAAATTAGAATGTAAAAAGTTGAATATGTTCCATCAGTTATTTAAGAAAGTGAAATTTTAATCTATTTTAAACTCATTACATAGAAACCATCATGCTTCAGCATTTCTGTTTTAACTTTGATAATTGTGGCCTACAGCTAAAAAATAAACATATCTCACGTTATTAGAATATTTCATTTCGAGTTTGAGTAAACTGCTATGAACACGGTTTAAATAGTGTGTGCCTGTCAGTCTAGTGCAGCGAACACAGCCACAATCATGGGGAAGACTACATGCTTTATGGTCCTCCAGATGACGATCATCTACGATCATCTACAGCCCACACAGGGAGAGTGAGCCGCAGAAGGTCACTGCTGTAAAGGCTGGCTGTTTGCAGACAGCTGTAGTGGAGGATTGGAGTACTGTGGGGAGGACTTGGGACCTCCCCACAGTACCAAAACTGCCAAATATTTTGCTGACCGTGTTATTGCTGTACCTGATTGGCCATTGACCTGAACCCCACAGAGGAACTATGCGCTGTTGTCAGGAAGAAGATACACACAAGCTGAGACAGCAACTTCATCTGCAAACATGTGGAACATGTCAGATAGATTTGTGTTCGTGTTAACCTCTAACATGTTGTACTCTTCATGGTTTTCTGGTTTTGGTTTTCAAATGTATGCTTTTATGGCGGACAAAGTTTCAAATAGTGAGGTCAGTGTAAACACGAGTAATCTCTGTGAGCTGAAAACTCGTGATTGCTCTTTTTGCTCGGTTATGACATCTTAGATGATGTCCCTAAGTAGCTCCACCCTCCTGCGGCTTTGAGGGGCAACCAGTGAGAAAAAAGCTTTCTTCCAGGGAGGCTGGCCTTAAAGGGAGAAGAGCTAATCAGTTAGTTGCAGTGGGCATCTGGGCAAGACGAATAAGAGTCCAGGAATAATAACGCCCAGTGTTATAAGCGTTGTGCTGTTGTTTGTTATGTCGTTAATATATAACAGCTTCATGTGCTGTTGGTCTTCATCTCTCCTCCAGTCGGAAGGTGCGTGGCGAGGGGAAGAAGTGCCGTAAGGTGTACGGGATGGAGAACCGCGACATGTGGTGCACCGCGTGCCGCTGGAAGAAGGCCTGCCAGAGATTCACTGACTGATCGTCCCCCGCAGCTCGCCAGACAAACAAGCCATGCAGTTTTCCAGCTGAGGAAAACGAGGGGAAAAGGGGGGGGGGGCGTCATCCTGCATGCATTCGGTTTTCTTCAGATCAACATCGCAACTGTCTGTCAGCTATGGCCCCGCCCTCGTTCTCCGGCTCCGTCCCACACCCCACCCAACCTCATCAGCTCCACTGAACCATTCCAGCTGTGGAAGCAACCACAGGACGGCAGAGTCACCTTTCACATCGCCGTCCAGGATTCCCAGCGTGGGCTCGCCATTCCCTTCTTTCCCAGTTTTTGGGAAAACCTCGGTGCAGCTAAACAGTGTAAAGAAAAAAAAAGATTTCTGCAGTTTTTTTTTGTTTTCTTTTTTTAATGTTGGGTTCAGTGTTGCATCTTTCCATGTTTTGTACAGATCTGGTTTTTAAATGAAAGTCTTGTCAAAGAAGGGGGTCGAGAAAAAGGCCAAATTATTATTATTTTTTTTTTTAAGTGTGTGTTTTCTCAAAAGATTAGAGTAAAAAACACTTTTTTATTCAAAAGAAGAAGGGAACTCTCTGAAGTCCGTTTGAAGAAAGCTATGAAAAAGCACGTGGAGGTAAAGCTCGCAGTTTTTGTTCTTCCTTCGACTTGTTCGTCCCTTTGTATCCAATTCTGGACTTTGAGGTGATCTTTTATCACGGTCCCTCACGCCTCCCGGACAGCCCCGAGGGAATGCATGCGTGGCATAGCCGGGAAGGGGTGGTGGACGGTCGGAAAGGAGGAGGAAGAGACACACACACACACGTACACAAACACACACGAGATGAATGACCAATGCAAAAAAAGAAAGAAAAAAAAAAGAACAAATAAAGCAGAAGATCCAACTTCCAGTCAGGGAAAGCAGATGGACCATACGAGTGATCTACACACAAACACGGTTTCTTCTCACACAATCAAAAGCAGATCACGTCGACTTGTATTCGTTGTTTCTTTGCTTTACCAGGGATGTGATTCTGAAGAGAGCAAAACAAACCAGCAGCTTAAAGTGTATGCAGCACTATCTCAACAGCTTCTATCTTTCATGACAACTTTGCAACCAAAAACTCCAAAACTTTATCCTGTCCTTCACGTTTTGTTTTGGGTTTTTTTGGTTAAGGTGCCATGTTTAGTGTTGTCGGTGTCATTTATTTCTTTTTCTTTTTTTTGGTGAAACTAAGACTGTTTACCTACCTGCTACTACAATGTGTGTTAAAGACCCTCCTCATAGCACTGGAAGTCAGCAGCAACGTTCAACGCAGTCGCCCTCCTGCACCAACTTTTACTCCAACAAATTAAGTTTGTTTACATCTGCCACAAAGGCGTCTCCCGATGACCTGATATCCAAAAGAAGGAAGGGCTGAAAACCCAAAGTGAGATACTTTTTGTGTAACACAGTTCCTTTGTGGTCCCTTTTAAAAGCTGGAAGTGTTTCCGCGTCATCTCCTGACTGGACGTTACAGAAAGAGTAATAATATTTGTCCGCCCGCTTGCGGCTGCTCCCCCTTAAATTCTCTGCAGCAAGCTTTTGTTTTCATTTTGGGAGAGCAAAGCGGCACTTAATTAAGTCACTCCTTTGGCGTTTAACTTAATTCACTCAGAACGCAAAGCTTTGGCTCACAAGAGTCTGTGTGATTGGCTGCTGAGGTGAGAGCAGGTTGAAAAGCCTCCTTTCTTCCGCCTCAGAGCCAGGAAGTAGAATCACGAGGCCCGAGCGTTTACAAACGCGGACCAACTCTTTCCATCTGCTTTCTAAGATCGTCCTGAAAGCCTCGACCTTTTTTGGGAGGGTTTCTGTCAAACACACTCTCTCACACGCACACTCGCGCACAAACAGGCTTCATCAGAGTTTCTAAAAACCAACACCAGCTGATAAACTCACACACGCTCGTCCAGTTTAAGCGCCTGAAAATCGTGGCGCTCTCTTACATTTGATCAGCTGTTTCTAGTTTGTTCCTGTATCCTGTATATATTTGTTTTCCTTTTACGCTCCTTTTTTGTTTTAATGACCGCCAACCTCTGTCATCACAAATGCCACCTTATGAACGAGTCGTGCTGTAGGCGCAGCCTTCAAGTCACTCTTTGAAAGGCCATTGTGCTTGTTACAGTGAGGTTTTGTCAACATGTTACTGTTTAAGTCAAATCTATTGTCTGGAAAGAAACAGTTGCATTCAAAACTAAAAACATGAAACTAATTTGTTTTTTTGTTATTTTAATTTTCATACATATGAATATACACATCCATATATATATATATATATCTATATGTATATGAAGTGTTTATGATTTTTGTTTTCATGTTCTGCTGAGCTTCTTCTGTTCTCCTCTTATGTGGCGTCATCGGCTTCATAAACGAAGCTCGTTAGGCTCTTTTGAGTGAGCGTGACCCTCACGTTCCCGCCTGGAGCTCCTTCACGTTAACGCTCTCCACTGCCGGCGCTGCGTCAAAAACTGCAGTTGATTAAAACCTTTATCATATTTCCAATTCTGCCACTCCGCCCCCCTATCGTTCCCCGCCCGTGTCACGCAGGCCCGCCTGCAATTAGTTTGATTGACACCTCAGTGTGTTTGCGCTCGCTGGCTCTTGTGTGTGAACTCTGAAGGAGCCCCGGGCAGAGCGCGTGTGTGTGTGGAGGGGGGCTGCTGCTGAAGCTCGGTGCTCCTGCACTCCCCTGAAGCGTCTAACGGCCCGTGGCGTTTCTCTGTCTCGTCCACTCCTGATTTGCCCGCACTGGGGTTTAAGGATGTTTTAGTTGAGGCTGAACGGGGCTTCTCCGTCTCACCGTCTGGATCGTTTTCCTCCACTGATGTTTAAAATATATTTATATATATTTGGCAGCCAATCAGATTCAGTCAGGGTCCTGTCCAGAAACGAGTCCCTTCAGTTGTTCAGATCATTCAGAGCACTGGATAATTACAGTGGCAGCATTTCCAGGCAGCTAGTTTTTCCTCTCTCTGGGTTGTCGAGCCGATCTCACGGTTGACAATAAGATTTGGCCAAAATAAGCTCATCTCACTCCCTCGCTTAGAGGTGATCCAAAAAAAATTACCTCAAAGATATATTTGCTGCCATATTTCTGAAACCCGTCCATGTCCTCTTGGATCGTGGGGAAGCTCGATGGGATTTGTTTTGTGGACCGTGGCCTGATCTGAGAACATCTCGATGGCCCAAAGATGGCCTCGTCGTGACGGTGCTTTCAGAGACACTGTGCCAGGGTTTTGTCTTTGCATGCGTCCTGGTGCCCTCGGCGGAGGGAGAAACAGAGGTGCTAAACACTCAACGCAGTGCTGTTTCTCCATTAATTCCGTTTTGTAAACATTGTTTTGCTGTAGAACATGAAAATAAAAATAAAATAAAAAACCCACCCAAAAAACAAACAAACAAAAATACACGGTTGTTTTTTTTAAAATGCTTTTATTTTGGTGACTTCTATTGATGACTGTTTCCTCGCGTCTGCGGCTCAGCCCTGTGAATAGATGGAAAACACCGGCAGAATATTAAATCGGCTTATTTTCTATTTCACATTGAATCTGAACTCTTATGTTCAAGCTTGGAAGTTATTTTCTGTAACAACAAAGAGCTTCAGAATAACAGCTGATGAAAATCGAATCACAGTCCATGTACTCACTGGTCCTTGAGCTTTCAGGCTTCATCAGCAGGTTCGGTTTTCATTGAACTGCAGATCTTTTCAGCTGTGCAGTCTCGGTCTGCTCGAGTCTGAGCTTCAAGACGTACTCAAAAGAATCAAATATTCACCGTGCAGGAGGGCTTGTTTCATAACAGTCTAATAATTGGTTCATTAATAATCACCACAGCTGGTAAAATTAGGACTATGGGAACTAAGTTACATACTTATGGGTTGTAAAGTAGCTTAAAATGGGTTGTTGTGTTCTTTTCTTATTTTTGTCACATATACTGTTGCAGTTATACTCATATTAAAATAATCAGACTAACAAATGTGATCCCAGCCAACCGGAAACATCTGCTTCAGAAGACCCGCTGTTCAAAACTGCTGCTTGTGAGGGGCAGCCAAGGTAGAAAGCTGGCTAAAAATGAAAGGGGCTGAACTCATCAGGCTTGTACTGTAGCCCGTAATATAAATAAGGATTATTTCAAACTGTGAGTCATGCAAAGCTACTCTAGCAGAACCAGAGAATAAAAGGCTCATTATAGGAAAGCAGCACAATAAATAGGTCCCCTTTTAAATTTGCCTTTTATCAGTGCTGATGAAGACCTTCAAAGGCTCTGGATGGAGTGAGTAAACGGGCAGTTTTTTCTTACCGTATACCGAGCATGATGAAATTTGACATAACGTGCAGACATATGGCTGCAGCATCTTGTTATTTAACTATCAAATGGAGATATTTGCAGAGATGCAGAATAATTTATAATTTACTCTCATTTAGATGAAAATAGCAGGGGGGGAAAAATCACGATGTTCATCATTTTACCCCCAAATTGACAGGTTAATGATGTGCAGCACACCATATGGCAGCATCGCACCGATCAGATCATCTAACTTGTTCATTCATATTAATCTGATCTCTCAGCCCTGAAACCTGATGGGATTTTGGGGGGTGGAGGCGTAAACACGAGTTCAGAAATGGGCTATCATTATAAACACGTGTTCACACAGCTTAATTAAAACGGTGGCATCAAAGGCCCACGATAGGCGGGCTTGTTGCTCGAGAGGGAGCCATATGAATACTTATGAGGACTTTTTTTGTTTTGTTTTTTGTTTTCTTGTCACACGGAGCGGCAGCGGCTGGTCTGGCTTTTGTTCTCTGTCGTGTTTACTTCGCTGCTGCCTATTAAAGGGCTGAGCTGTGATTTATGAGCCGAGTAAAACAAGACAGCATTATTCTACTTACGGACGATATAAACATCAACTCTCATGAGCTATGAGGGACCGTGTGTGTGTGTGTGTGTGTGTGTGTGTGTGTGTGTGTGTGTGTTGCACTTTGGGTTGTCACTGCTCCTGAACGGTGGCAGCTTTAACAGCAGTTCACGTGTTGACAGTTTTATGAGGACCCCTCGTTTGTGTAAGCTGATCCTTAACCAGATCAATATTTCATACGTGACGACGCTTGTTTTTGTGACAAGAGGCTGACACTTAATATACCCTGTATCATCCACCTATGAGGTCAATATATGCTACAGTACAGTATATCTAAGCTACAGTATCGGTGTGTATCAGTACATTGATGTGATATCTCTAACTATAATACGATCAAAATTCCTACTTTTTTTTTATTTAAAGTGACGGGCTGTGCCTTTGGTCAGGTGCCCCCCCCCCCTCCCCGGCCCCCACCTCAGCTGTGTCTGCAGACGTGCCACCCACCCACGTCTAGTGGGCGATAATGTGCGTGAGCCCACGGTGCTGTTATCTGCCCCTGCGCCCTGCAGTTTGCCTCACAGACCCTCCAGTGTTCTGCAAGGCTAACAGCAGGTGGCGCTCTGCTGAGACTGGGGAACAAGTGTGTTTGCAGTGTCAGAGCCTTCCAACTCTCTGGGCTGGTTTTTATGGCTGCTGTGCTAACTGGCAGGATTTTTTGGGGGGGTGTCTTTGCCTCTTTCCAGCTGCCAGTGCAGCAGCAGGGGGCAGCGTTGTTGTTGTTGTCGATTTAAAAGGGTAGGGGCCCTCTTCTCGAGTCCGTCCTTCATTCATTCAGGAATGTGAATAAGGAGGAGGAGGACGGTGGAAGGATGGGTGAAATGGCTTTGGGAAACGCTCAGAAGTCCTGAGTGTGTGTTTCCAAGAGTTGCTCCCCCCTCTCGACCACCACCTC